CCCTCTGTTGGTGTCTAACAGTCTGATGAAGAGGATGCTCACTGCTGTCAATCATCTTCTTCATCTCCAGAGGTTCTAGAGGAGTTCCTAGAACAGAGCCGACCTTCTTTATCAGCTGGTTGAGCTTCTTTCAGTCATTAGCTCTAATGATGATGATGATGATGATGATGATGATGATGATGATGATGGGATCAGACTCTCCACAGCATCTGAAGGACCTCAGCTTCCTCCAGAAGTCCAGTCTGCTCTGTCCCTTCTTGCAGACGGCTTCCCAGTTGTGTCTCCAGTCCAGGTTGTTGTCCAGGTGAACACCAAGGGATTTCTACTCCTCCTCGAAAACATTCAACTTGTTCCTGTTTCTTGTGAAATGAGGGCCCATTTGCTAGTGACTAACTATCCAAAAAGGACTTTATTTTATGAGACAGCAGAAATAGAAAAAAAACCTAAGAAGGTTTTCCCTCATCTCTAAGGTGTCTCAGAAATTAAATGGATTCTTAGAATGAAAAACTTTTACTGCAAACATTGTAAAATTAATATACACTATTTAACATTTAGAGACCAAGAACACATGCCTCTCCTTGGACATCTGGGGGATCTGGAACCACAATCTGGAGTGGTTATACCCTTTAACCCACACCCTGAACACTCATCACCCCTCAGTCATAATTAAACAAACATTTACCTGAAGTGACCTTCTTGATGATTGATAGGGACACCTATGAAGACCAGCAGGGGAGCTGGGGGGCTTGATATGAGGTGTCACTGCTCCTCAGAGTATTGGGTTTTTAGGAGCATCTGTTTGTTTTTGAACAGTCATTCAATTTGTACCTTGCAAAGTTGTGTAATAGTTATATTAAAATACCATCAAGCCAAAGCTACAATAATTTCACATTGTCTGCTATTGTCCCGCTGATGTCAGATGGTATGTTCCATTTTTCTCTTTCTTTCCTTTTAGACACCTCATTTATTAAGGGAAGTAAAACACTAAGTGTGCATTCTATATTAACAGATTTGGTATCACTGGATTCATCACAGCCCCATCTTTCCAATAACTATAATCTGTGTTGTTATAATGGTCCCTGGCCAGCCTCTTACAGAATAGATGACACATTTTTGAACAGATTCACCTTTTTGCCACGTTTTAGGTATGTGTTCATAGTTCTCTAAATATTATACACTTCAAGATAATATGATTCAGTACGAAA